TAAATATTTTAGAGTTTAAAGGATAGATATTTCATATTTTTTTTCTAGGAAACTCCTTGGCGTTCTTTCAAACTTTTAACCTATTTTTTAAGGTAGTGCTTTAGACAGCAGTTTCTAATGCAAATAACACCTTGTATCCCAAGGCAAATTCATATTCTAGTTAATAAACAGCATCAATAAATTTGTAAAGACTTTAATGGCAACTGTACAGAACTTTTCATACACTGAGGAATTCATTCTGCTTAATTGCTTTATATTAAGCAGTTTTCATTAGCCATCCTCTAATCTGTATGAACAGAAATAAATGGAGTCAGGAAAATTATCTGGTTTAACCCTTCCTATTAAAAAAAAAGTAGTATCTTCGATGAGTTTTGTTATTTAAAAAAAAGGAACCAAATATAAGCAAAATTGATGCAACTCCTAGTCAATGTGAGAATTTTTATAAGTTTATGCATTAAAGACCTATGGTCTGTCTGAAATTTCCATCAAAATACAAATTCAGAGTATCTTACACATTCGCCTTCAAGTTAAGAGACTAATTACATTAACTGATTTATTAATAAATGGGGCTTTTTGTCTAATTATTGTAAGTACTAACAGACTGGGGAACCATTTTAAATGTCTAATGTGCCTTGAAACCATTTTTTTAGGTTAATTACATTTCTCACTGAAGTCACTATAGATATGCCCCTTAGGTTTTACACTGGAAGATTAAAGAAAAATGTAAAGATGATTACCTCATTGGCCAGCTCCAGTAATACAGGGGCAGCTGCATTTTTCATCACCCCATTCAGGTATCTAGACAAGACAAAGCCAGATAATTTTGCAGTGGCAAGAAAAGGCCAGTTTATACATGTCAGCATCCCTTGTGAATCTCTTTTATTTAGGTGAGAATACTCCAGTACAGAGTACTTAATGGGAAATCTTTTAAGAAATAAGTATTTTAAGGCATCACTAACTCTCCAGGGTTGTCTTCTGTTCTATTCATCTGCAATATATATCAATCTCAATGAAGTCTCTCATAAAAAACACAATAAATCAAGAAATTTAAAAAAAAAAGTGGCTTAATTACATACAAATTAACTGTATCTATACTACTTTAAGCAGACAAATAAACCTCTACTATTTACAGTAAAGATTTTTGGTTTCACGTGACCTTCAATTATGAACATGCACTGTATAACTTATTCAATTCACTCCTATGCACAAAAAAAACATTTCTCAAACTTAATCCAGATTTTATCAATTGAGTAGTAGTTTAAATACTAAAGGCTTACTTGAATGAAATAAGAGTTGAACAATTAAATTAATATTCTAAAGAGAAAATAAAAGAAGAAACATTTAGGATCCAGTAAAGGTTGATAGAAAGTCATTATTGTTCTATCAGTGGCAAAGGCTTAATGTTTCTGGTTAAGAGTATCACACAGCGATGTTTCTGACCATCACACAATATCGCCTTCCTCCCTTCGGTTACTTTGACTGCTTGATGTTTACATTTTGATAATGCCTAAAACCTGTTTTCAAGAGCTGATGGGAAGAAGCTATGACATTGGAAGCCACTTTGTGCTTTGCAGCCATGTGGAAAAGAACAATAGTTACCAATATTTGAACCTGCTCGTTTATCCTATCTGTATTCGCATAGCACATCATTACTGACATCATTAGAAGGCCACAGCCTTTCCAGCTCTATCATTATCTATCCATCAGAAGACACTCTTCTGCTCATTAGTTACAGACATTAAAATTCTTTCATTTTACCTTTCTGTGGAATGGGTGTAACACCTTTATAAAACCTCTTTGCATAAGATTAGATAGAGGACTTTTTGCTTGCAAGTTATTCTGAGGTTTAATGAATAATGGAAATGAAAAAAGCTTTTTGCTGCAACTTATTTCAGTTCTACATTAAAAAAAACATAAAACAAGATGTCTTGTGGATGTTTATACATTGAAAATTTATAACAGAAAAAGAAAAGGAGAAATCATAAACAAAATACCTAACCAGGAACATTCATTTGAGATTAATGTTCTAAAACATGCATCTAGATGATTGAACAGCAAAACTACAGCTGACAATGAAGTAATTTTCTGCCAGATATTTCTAATGCTACTGGCAACTCCATTATGGACTAACAGGTCTCATATGCTGATAGCAATACTGTTTTGAAAACTTTCTGATCCTTCTTGTAATTTGTCCTTGTGCTTGCCTAAATTTCAGACTAGTAAGACTCAGCAGAGCAACAAAAACTACTCTACTCAACTGTTCTACTTGCTTCTAACAGGGACCACTGGAAATGGCTACCTTCAAAAACTGGTAGTTTCTGACCAAAGAAAGCAATGACAGCACAATTATCTGCTTGTATGTTGGCAGAAACAGTAAGGAGCATAGCACACACACCTGGGGCTTACAGCAGTAAAATGGATGCTACAGAAGAGTAGAGGATGTGTTTGTCATGTTTACACCTGAAGCATTTCAAAGTGGTTTCTCAAGTCATCTGCCTCTGTAGCTTACTAAACACACTATACAGTAAATCTACTAAAACAGGATTGAGATGAGTTTTCTAACTATTAACCAGAACATCTCTGATTTTAAAACATGTGCATTTTATTCAGCCATGTTAATACACCTGCAATATGAAATACTCAGAAATACCATAAAGAATGATTTTCCCTACTATCACCACATAGCTTCATACATAATGCATTAGTTATGTACTGCTATCACACTTCAGACTACAGAAGGGGACAGGAGACCAAATCCTCCAACCTGATGTGAGACAAACTTAATCATACCTACAACCCTATTGACACCAATACAACTGCTGCTTTGCATAAAGCAGAATTTGGTCCCATGTTTCAGGTTGAAGTTGCTAGAACTAGTGATTTACATGTATGCTAAAGAAAAGGTTTACTTACATAGCAGTTACAATTAACATAAACCACTTCACTGAAACTGTGCTAGTGAAAAAGAATTAAAAATAGTATTGTATATACATAGTTATTAACACAACAAAATTTTAAGTCAGTAGTCTTCCTAAACATAAATCAACCCTAGGAAAAGCGTGATGTGATCCAGTGCAAATTTTTATAGAACAGTGCAACTACTAAAAAAAGAAAATCAAATGCCAAAAAAACCAGAACACTTCACACTACATATTCTAAACCACTGTCTGATATAATCAGGCTGTGGTTGAATTTTAAATATGTGACTCTGGTAGAAGCACAGTTATTTGTTTACAAATGAAGGCTTTTTGTTTATTTCCTGATTCACACAGATTAATACTAAGCATAAATATCAGACATCTATAATCACAAATATGAATTCACTTGCCATACATGCTCCTCAGATATGTCAGTCTACAAAGTAATATTTTAATTGCATATCTTTACCTGTTATGAGTATGTCCCAATTATGTCATTGCAGTATTTTTAGTAAAGCCTACAGAACTAACAGATAAACTATAAGGTGTAGCAAATACAATTTATTAGCTTAAGATTCAAACAATTGTAAAATTTGTAAAATGACATAAAGGTTTTCATCCTTCCTTAAAAACTATTTCTGACACTTCTGTTGATAAAACAGGAGTGATCTAAAAATTAGTGCTTTAAGTGACAATACATGAATATGTAACTTTTTATAATGTAACAAAAACGTTGTTCTAAAAGTACAAGCAACAGTAACAAAACAAGCTCTCTTGCTGTAAGAAGTTGTCATCAATATTAGTCTTGACACAGAAATCCTACAATTAAAAATTATAGACAATACATAATAAATGCTATCACACACTCTCTAAAAAATATTTGCTTATCCCGACCTAGAGCCAGGAAAGTAAAGTCTTTTTTAATCAAAATGACCAAATACTGAAAAATTTCTGTATTTTCAGTGAAATAAATTTTTAGGTGAACCATTCTGTATTCCTCATCCCAAATTCTTAATTTATTTTTATAGAAAATTAGCTTCATAAGGTAATTTCCTCCTAACTGCCATAACAAATAGTGGCTATGATGACAGTCTTAACTGGGGTGAGGAGGTCATACCTTTGATAGTAAGTTTCAATAGCTTCAGCAGTGTGGTGCTTGGCATGTGTTCTTTTGATTTGTTTCTAGAAAAACAAAAAACCAAAGTATTTTACAAACGTATCATCGATCAAAACACAGAAATCATGACTGCGCAAACACACAATCCTTGGCTACACTTTGATATATGTGAACCCTGGTTTTAGATTCTGTACAGAAATGACATTCAATCTACCTATTGAATTGAACGTCTTCAGACTGTACTGCAATGTACCATATGTAAAAGCCAATAAGGTCACAATAATTGAATCTAAATAAGTTTATTGAAGGCTGCAGAGGGCAAAAAAAAACTTGTTCTCTCTTTCAACCTTTGTATTAATTTTCCCCAATTCAATTCCATCTAAGTCTGGTGTACTCTAGTTTTACAATTCAATTGGCATTTTTAACCAAGAAAAACATTGCTTAAAAACAACTTATTTGAAAAACTACAAAAAGTAATTCCATAGAGACTTGCCACTTGACTGACACCTGTCATCTCATGATAAATGACTCCATTTTCTGCCTCTCTTGCCTTCTGCCACTCCGGCAATGGTCATTTATCATCATCTCTGTCAGCAATGGAAAGCAGCACTGACAGTGCAAGTCAGCAAACATTTAGCACATGGAACCACGCAACACAGGGAAATTATTATTGTCAGAATAATAATGGTTTAGCATAATTTATTACAGGTCCACCAAATAAGCAAAGGCTAGATGTTATTAGACAGATGGATGGGTAGGCTTGGCAGCCATCCACTGAGACTCAGGCGGTGCTTGATGTGGAAAAAGGAACATCCTCCAAACCAATCAGAAAGCTGGCAGTTCAATTACAAAGAAATAAAGGGACATTCATCATTCAATTAGGCACCTGTCAACCCTCACAAAGGAGAAAACTTCTAACCTGGTACTCCTGGGAGAAGATGCTCAGCAGAGTGGACTGCGATTGACTGGAACAAATAAAAGAAGGACAAAGTTAATTACTGGAGTGCACTGCAAAGAAACAAAAGAGAAGGGAGCTTCAAAGGTAGGCCTGCTGCCCTGTAATCTAACAGAACATGAAAACAAGTGTGGAAAAGTTGTTCCAGATGAACACCTCAGACAAAGGCTTCCTGCTGCTAGGTCAAGGAGAGAGTGTATGAGGGATGGGAGGAAAATACAGCAAAAGCAAACTAACATATTGTTTGGGTGATTCCTTTTTCAGGTTCAGAACCCAAAAGTCCTATCAGAAGCAGGTAGCAGAGCTAAAAGGCAACAGGGAAAAAAGGAAATTAAAGCAAAATTTCCATTAATAATTGATGGGAGTTAAATTCCATCAGCAGTTGGGAACGAGCCGCTTATTCATTGGCAACATATTGAAATTCATTTTGTTAGCAGCAAGGGAACCTCTTCAGTAGCTGTCTCATATTCAGGTTAAAAACTTCCCCCTCTGTCAGAAGTAGCATATGGGACCAGTGGAACATTCCCACTGAAACTGATGTGCTTTGAAAATAGAAACTTTCACAGCAGGAAGCTGAGATTCCCCTGAGTCGGTCATTTCCAAAAGCTGCCATAAGCTTCATTCATCTAAGGCTCCACTCAATGTCAAACACCTGGCAATGAAGCAACCTGGAAAGCATTCTTCCCAAGTGGGAATTTTTCTCTCTGAATTGTTAACATTTAGAAATGAGACAAGATTTTTTTTCCCTCTGAAAGGCAATCAATACCACACCACTACTGTTTTCAATTGTCCTCTGTGGATATATCTACCTCATCACATCCTGAATACAATTAATTACTCCTGATATATTTTCCTACTACATGCAACTTGAACAAATTATAGTCTCAATAAATCGAGTTTTATGGTACAGCAAAGCATTATGAATAATTAACATTTTTTCCTTTCAGGAACCTACCTACTAAGGCATGGCATAGGTACTTCAAAGACTCTGCAATGTCTAAATCTTCTTTCAAATTTCTTGTATGCACATGTAACACCAGTACCATATCATATTTTCATTAAACATACATGTTCTCCCCATACTTAAATGACCCTTCTTCCAATCTCCATACTTCAGAAATAATAATTTAAGATAAGGAAGTCTTACTCCCACTTTCAAAAGGGAATAGAGGCACAAATGGTTTGTTCAGGTTTAAACAGACAGTATGTATATGCAGGATGATATAAAGTTACCTTTAAACCAAACAGCTGAAGAATCAGGAACAAAGTGTAGGTTAATGCAGTACTATATAAAGACCTTACTAGTTTGTCTTATATATAGTTGAGCTTCAACATCTTTGCCAGAACTCTGTATTTTGAGCTTGTCTGACCAGCACAGCATCTGTGCGACAGCAGTAAGCTGAGCCTTGATCTTTGGTATTTTACACACGGGAAAGTTCACCCCGAGTACTCACCGAGACTGAATGTTAAAAGCCGTAAAAAAATGATAGCAACAGAAACTAATACACAGATTTATTAAATTAATGAATTACAGAAAAAATTAATTACAATACAGTAAAGAATTTGAATATTTTATTAAAATAAATATTATTAAAATAAATATTTACTTAAATATACATAATGTGACACATAGGTCAGGAGCTACATACCAGAATGCCTCCCCAAATGGTGACAATCTTCAACATGCACATATAATCATTAGAAGGTTAACAAAGGAAAGAAATTAGGATTATATACTTACACAGGCTATATACATACAGAAAGCTAAGGCATTTCAAGTTGATTTGAAAAACCCCACAACCTAGCAGACTATAAAGTTGGAATCATATGGCCCCCTAATGGCTCTCAACATAACTATTATTATCTTGCAGATTTTACATGGTCATAGTGGTAGAACTGAATATCAAGAAAAATGTGAAGAAAACCAAGCAGGACAGCATTTGACTAGATTTCTGGTTTGAGTTCTCTCTCACACAACAATTTTTGTGGTTTTAGGCTATTCCTTGTATGATAACTGTTCTTATTGTACCATTATTCTATTAAACCCACCGACAGACCAAAAATAATTAAGATCATTATCCCTCCTTTTACACTCATGACTTAATGGTGGACGTGGCAGCGCTAGGATAATGGTTGGATTTGATGACCTTAGAGGTCTTTTCAAAACTACATATTTCTATGATTCTTGTCCATTTTATTTGACCCCTTGGTGTCCTTGGATTTTGACCTTCTACTTCCATTTACTTCAACATTCCTTTTCTCTGACGCTTCCAACTGTTCAGATAATTTAGGACTCAGCACAAATACTAAAAAGATCATTCCAATAAACAGTGCAAGTTGGATACGTACTGGACTGCAGCACAGAAACTTTACCACTGTGGCAAAGAGAATTATTTCAATAACGTCATTCAAAAAATTTCAAGCCTTACTACCAAATGATCTTTCTCCTTCCCCAAGAGAAGTGGATTTATATCTTCACAGGGCTGCTTCCATATTTCTTTTGGTTAACATAATTCCTGTCTTAAACACTAAAACCACTTATCTGACAGTGTTTCCTTGCTACAATTCCATTGATACAACTTCCTGGCAAAATTAAATAGCTCCTCAAGACACAGCTGGAGCATCTGTTGCAAGATGCCAGGGAGTGGCATCTGAAACATCATGGTTTCAGAAAGGACTGAAAAAGACAGTACTACGTACTTGGAGAGGGGACAGAAATTATGAACATGCTTTCTTGTATAGCAAGACAGCATGATCACAACTGCTAATACAGACAGCAGGGATACTGCCATGGAAGTTATCATTACTTCTACAGAAGCAGCCAAATTCCCAGGGCTCCATCCATCCTCTGATCCTTCTATACAAAATTTCAAAGCAACAAATGAGCAGACAAATGAATATAGCTCAGCTATCCAGGACAACACACCTAACACTGAAAATACTTCTTATTCAAAATAACATTTGAGTGCTTTCCATGGAATAAACTCTATAGTAAGCCTCATGGCTTACTTGAAGGCTAGGGATATAGACATGTTTGTGTCAAGCAAGCTTTTTGTCGAGAAACAACTGTACAAGGTACAGATTTGCCGATTTTCTGATACAAACAAACAAAAAACCCCAAACTCGTAATTCTGAATACTACCTAGTTAGAATAATTAATAAATTAACTTGTTACCCCTCTTGTACAGCCAAATCTATTTTCCAGGAAAACATGCAAACTTTGCTCTTGAATTCTATAGTGATCACTTTGTGGAAACATTTTCTTCCGCAATTCCAGATGGTAATGAATCTAACTCCCAGAGCTCTGTTCAAAGCAACGAGCCTCACTCTTCAGATATCCTCTTTTTCATGTACACTGGCATCCATAATGAATCAATTTACCTTTTGTTATTCTGTGTTGATGTCAGTGGCATACTTCCATCTGAATGCCTGATGTACTTTGTAGTCTTGTCAATACATAACTGGATTTAGGCAGAAAACTGTGAAATCTAAAATCTGCTTCAAAATGCCGATGTTTTTAGAGATAAATTACTTTTATTTTAAAAAAATGAAGTGTAATTTCTAGGTCCCAAATGATATAAAGATATAGATAAAGATATAAAAATTTGCTTGATATAAAGATATAAAAATTTGCTTGTAGTTAAAAAAAAAAAAAGGGAAAGGTATTACAGATCTCAAAGAGATCTGTAATATACAGACCTCACATTTAAAAATGGGATGCCCAAATCAAAATCAGTCCAGAACAAGTGATAAGAGAAATTAAGAATTTAGAGATCAGTCAAGCTAAAAAGACAATTGCAAGTCTGGTGCTGGAAAAAGAACATGCCTTCTCATCATTTAATGTGTAAGAATAAAATTTAGATCATTCTCTTCTAATGAATCCCAAAATTTGGTAGAGGAGGAATGCTATAATCCCTGGAAAGTTTTTCAGAATTGTTCTGGTTTGCAATGAGTGCTCACATATAAAGTAGTAACAGATAAGTCAGTAGTTTAAATAAGCAGATTAGTGCTTCATAACTAGAGTTGATATAAAACTGGCTAAGAACCAGCTTGTAATGGTGAAAATAATTTTACTGGATCAGATCATCATCTCAACAAAGCAGGGTTGCAGTTCTAGCCAAGATCTGGAGAGCTGTCCAACTTATTATTTGCTACTTCAGTTTCACCAGAAGAAAATCCAAAAAGAACAAATTCTGAAAATATTGTATTATCATCCCTTGCAAATAATTAATTCTTTAAGGATCAAATAAACTTACAGGTTTTTACTTCATTTTCTGAGATTACTGAAAATAGGAAGTTTTAGGTGCAAAACCAAGTTTCCTTTTTTCATCTATTTTTTTAAATGAGTTTCCTTTCCCTCATCTTTAATGCCACACTTGTTGCCTAAAACAGAAAGAGTAAAAACTCAGCTTTATATTTAATGTATTTTACCGTGAAACAAAGGAAGAGTATCTAGAGAGATCTGTAAAAAGAATAAATCAAGAGTAAATATGAACTGCAGTATTTAATCCAGAATTATTCACACAAGTGTAGACAAGCAGGGGCAAAACGAAGTCCACCATGAGACAAATATGTTAAATAGAATATCTTCATTGCTTTCTTTTCACAAAATGGACCATTTCACCAAGTGATAAATATATGGATTAAAAAACTGAGTGTAGGGGCAGGAGCTCTGTTTCCAAAATCCAGAAGCTCTTACATGTAAAATCCCATAGCAGCAGTGTCAAACCTCCTCTGGAAAACAGAAATTCATGTAGTTGGAGAAGTTGTTTCTTTCAGTCTCCAGAGTGAGTACGTAGCGCTAGTCATATCCTTCACGATACATTGTGAAGTAGACAGCAACAGTCTCTCATTTTTAGTAATTGGAAAAGAACTTCCCCCTTCCATGTATAAGTTCAAAAATACTTTCACTAATGCAATACCGAGCTTTAAAATAAAAGTAATATGGCTAGAACTGTGTGATGCTGCCATGCTGGATTAAGAATCTAAGCGAGGAAAGAAAGATATATG